GTTAAGGCTACGATCCTTCATCTTTGAAGGAATCAGTGATGAAACTAATATTGTTATATACCAGAGAAATTCTTTGAATGCTTGCCTTCAGTAATTAGCTTTACCCCCAATTTACACTAGGTTTGCTTTGCTCTGACTTTTGCAGTGAAAACTCAACAAGAGCATTTACACTGCATCCGCAGGGCAGAAGAGTGCACACAGCTATTTGACAAAAGTAGATTTGATCCTATTTTTGCCAGATGGCAGAGCGAGTGTGGAGTCAATCATCAAAGATCCCACCACACATACAGGAAAAGAAACAAATGCAGCATCCATATTTTCAAAATAATTCATCAARGGCAAACTACGTTTTGTCGAAATCCTTGCTATATTAACAAATATGTGGATATATTTGTACATACTTGCGTTCAAAATGCATCCTTCTGTTTGAGAAGCAGAAGGCAATATGTATCATGCAACATATGCATGATTTTATTTTGAAATATGGATTTAAAAAAGACAATAATGATGCAGTTTCAACTTTTATTTTCAGTCGGTCTTCCACAGAATTATTTAATTTGGTCTGACTTCCACATTTATCACTGGCTTTGTTGCACAATCTTGCATTTCCTGACATGCTTCTAGGAGCACCTGTGTGCTCCTGGGCAGTGAAAATCAGGGTGGAAACAGATGACGCTGAACTGTGTAGCGGAGCCRCRCGCAGTGTAAATCYAGGGTTATATTGTCCATTCATTTCACTTTACATGCTTTTTCTTTCTGGGTCACAAAGTGCTGGTRCCTGGTGAAAACCCACACATGCACAAGGACAACATGCAAACTCCACTCAGAAAGGCTCCAGACCAAGAAGCAATCCTGCAACCGTCTTACTGAGAGGTGCCAGTGTGAACCGCTGCACCGCTACGCCTCATTTTCATGAAATTACTTGAGGACGGTAATATTTGGTTATGTACTCTTAATCATATTAGCTTGACAGAAATTCAYGAGGAGCGCTCCCTACTTTCTCAAACTCTTTTCACAGCTCATTGAAACAGGAAGCGGTGAAATTATAACATTTGGTCAATAGAAAGGTACATTTTATGCTTCAGTGAAATTTTGAGTTTTGTTCGAAGCTACATATTGTTTTTGTCAAGTGTTTTTTTTTTTTGTATCCTCTAGAAATGATCTAGATTTTCAATCTTCGAAAAMTTTGTGTAGTGATTCACATCAGAGCACTTTGGCAGATTTCCATTCTGCCTCGTCTGAAACCGTTTTTCTGTATACGTATCACGGCCTGAATTGTGCGCAGGAAAATGAGAGCTGGTGTTGTTCCTCCAGTGTGTGCATTGTCAAAGGAACTCTCTGAACACAACAGGGAGGCTGTGAAAAGTGCCAGAAGGACCGTGGGGGATTATTGTTGTTGCTTCAAAYACAGATAGGAGTTTTGCTTTGTGTAAGCTACAAATTAAAACCACAGAACTTGGAGTTTAGGGGGAAAAAAACAACACAGAGGTGAGATTTCAGCTGTTASTGTGTTTAATGTGCAGTTATGACTACTGTATAATTATTCTGAATAAAAGGTTTTTGATTTATTTTTTGTAAAGTGCTGTATTTAAATATTCATTTCCTTCCCTTGAAAGTAGCATTACTTGACTTCATTTTGCCACATCTAATCAAAGAATTGTGCAGCATAATTTATGAATCGAATGCAACATTAAAACCTAAATTATACCAGGAAACCAAAAATAAAAAAATGATAATAAATGGTTGTTTTCATTTAATAAATTACCTTTGAATGGCAATTTTTTTTTCTCTCTTTGATGTGCAGAGCAGATTAGCCTGAAGGGTTTATAAATAATGCACAAGATGTTCCTCAGTTATTAGTTTAGATATTTGTGCCTCCTAAATATTTTARCAAAACGGTTTATTGATTGCTTCGGAAACTAAAAGTAAAATTTTTTATTGTTTACTTCTCACAAATCACTTTGCTTAGTAAACATATTTCCAAATATAACATTTTGCAGATGTTATTTTAGGTCTWGGAAAACCAAGTTCAACAGCATGCAAATGAAGTTTCCCTGCTGTTTTATTGTATTTAAAGTCAGGAAATGATCGAGAAGTGGCTTGAAAAAAGCAGCAGATCAACAAATTCCTGCCTGCTTTTTTGTCCTGTAACAATGCACATTCATCCACACACAGGTTCATGCTTTGCACTTTGCATTCTGCCAAATTTGCAAGACTGAATCCTTTGTATTCATAAGCTGTCTACTGGATGCAAAATGKTGTCAGCCAGCTGAAGTCTGCTCTGTTTCACATCTTCCCGTTCCATGTGTCCTTTATTCTTCTTTTCCTTCTGACTGCTTGTTTTCCATTTTCCTGGAAAGACAAAAGRCAGGTGAAAAAAATAGAAAAAACAGATGGCAAGGACAAGAGAGGAACATTTCATGGACTTTATAAAAATTGGAAGCTATAATGAAACATGAATCCAGCAAAAGAACATCAACACTTTGCTGTTCTATTATTGTATTTACTTTGAGTCAGTCAGCCATAAACCCTTTAATAATGTTCACACACACACACACACACACACACAAAGGCACACACTGAGTGCATATGGGCACTACAATAAGCCTCTTGATGCTTTGGCCTTGAGGCTGATAGGTGGGCTGGAGAGTATGACAGTTTATAACATCACAATGATGGAGTTGTCATTGAGCTCCTGTGTTTTATGACTTACCTTTTTGCTTGCGGTACAGATTAGGTTCGGGGTTCTCATYTCCAATTTAAGAAGCTGCTCGTTTTCAAATGCAGCTCAGTACACCGCTGAGTAACGACATGTAGAGTTCATGCTGGTTATCATACATCCACAGACTTTTTTTTGTATCCAGGATGGTTTATGTGCACAGACAAACACATAAAACTCAATAAGCATGCAGTCYTGGCCTCGTTCCACAATCCGGTCAAGGCACAAAGGTCTTCCTGGATGGGCCATTGGCTTCTGTATCTCATAAAGGGACAATATATAGTGGAAAACATATGTCCCCTAKTCTATTGCAGGCTTAGCACTTTGTCTAAGGCTTATATACTTTGTGAATAAGCTTTAAAACCAGAAGGCAGATGAAGGTTGATGGTTGTGAGAAAGTGACAGTTATAAACYTCTGAACTGGTCTGTTGTTCCTTGTCAAGGATGATGTTGTGTTTTATGTCTGCCTCAACATAAGGTCCTGTTCTCCACTGCCCCGCCCACCCCCATTGTCTTTGTTCAAACAAGATGCTAGCTCTGTTCTTTCTCTAATGGCAGTTATCAGCAGCTTTATWAGGTCCACCTGTTCTATTGCTTGCCAACACAAGTAGGTAATCAGCCAATCACAAAGCAGGTGTTACAGAAATTGGGATCCACTGGGGTTTTCACTCACAGCCATCTTTAGAGTTTATTAAAGGGGCAGTATCATGTAAAATCAACTTTTTGAGTTTTMTATCATGTTATAATGTTATACTCTCATAAAAACATGCCCAAAGCCTTGCTTTTACTCATTCATGCATGTCTGAGAAATCCTGCAGCATTTTTAGGAAGCCATGCTGAGGAGCAAAACCACGGTGGGGACCAGAAATGCCTTTTGGGACCAGAAACGCCCCTGGGACGTGTCTTTAAGCCGAACTTCCTCATGGCAGAGCGCCCTCCCCCCACTTCCTGCTCCATGACTCCGACAGGCTACGTGCTGAAATGGGCGTGACCGAAGTAGTTGGATTCTCTTAAAGAGACAGAAACCTATTTTAAGGCGTTTAGAAACTGTCAAGATGAGAAGTGAATTGTTTTGGGGATTTTTACAAATGTATAGCTCTTTCATAGGCTACAAATGTGACATGGTTACTTTATTTTAATATAAAATTGAAATATAGGCTTGGAAAGCACATAATATCGTCCCTTTAAGAAAAGTCCAAAAAAGAGAAAGAAATCCAGGGAGCAGCAGTTGTGTGGGGAAAAAAAATGCCTTGTAGACCTGTCATGATAAGTAATAAATTAATTAATCAAACGATAAGTTGCCAGGTGCATGGTCTTGTAAACTTTGTAGCATTAGAGCTCCATGAACAGGCATTCAGCTAGAGGACGGGCTTCGGTTTCCTGACGCCTTTCAACTGATTACTCCTCAGGATGCCCTCAGAACTCCGAGTCAAACCTTGGGTTCACCGAAAGCTCTATTTATTTTTCTTACACCACGTAAATTCCGAAAACTTCCATAAACTTTGTAAGAAGCATGTAAATGAGCAMAATTATTTTATGAAGCCAGAGGAAGACACATGAAGATGCACTGTCTTGGATAAAGGTGGGTATCAATGGTACAGCTTCAGTAGCTTTTGTGTTTTGTTTCACAAGCCACGCTCCTGGTCAACTTTGTTAAGATTTGTAAGCAGGAGGGAAATCATTACATTAGTTTAAAATGGTCTCCAATTTATTGCCCAGCAAATGAACTTATCATGACAGGCTTAATACCTTGTTGACATCAAACGGCTGATGGCAGACTGGTTTGAGATGATGGAAAAGGCAACAGTGGCTTAAACGATTATTTGCTAAAACCAAGGTATACAGAATACCATCTCCACACACACCCAAATGTGAAGCAGATGGACTACAGCAGCAGAAGACCACACCGGGTGCCACTCCTTTCAGCTAAGAACAGGAAACTGAGGGTACAACTGGATTGGACAATAAGAGACTGGTACAACATTGGCTGGTCAGATGAGTCTGGATTCACTGGACTCTAACAGCATCAAAAGTTACCAAAGCTCATCTCAACTGAGCATCTTGAGATGAGTAATTTGCACCGTTGACGTGCATCGGACAAATACCCATGAACTAAAATAAATGCAGGTCAATATGATCAAAATATCTGAGGAATCGTCTTTTTTTTTTAAATGAATCTATGCCACAAAGAATCCAAAATGTTCCAAAAAAAGTAAAGTAAGGTGAGTTATCCTAACAGTACTGTTTCATGCTGTGCTCTTGTTTCTTCTGTTGGATGCAGGGTACTTTCTGCAGACACCGTTCCCACCTTCCCAACGCTCGTTTCAGGGATGCATGCAGGCGATCCTGGTGGATGATCATCCTGCTGATCTGCATGCAGTGGAGAAAGGCACTGTGGGAGCCTTTGAGAACGTCAGCCTGGACATGTGTGCAATTATAGACAGGTAAAAATAAAAACCGTTGCAGGTTCACACTTCGACCCTGTGATGCAGGCAGACAAATGAAAAAAGAAAAGCATCACAAACAGCACTATCTTTAAGGTAAACTGGAGAGTCGTAAAATAAACAGAACTATTATGTAAAAGTCTTTCAATTCTTATCTTGAGACTTATTATTCTGGATTCCTTTTGTTGTCTGTGCAACCTCGAATTATATTAATGTGTGCCTTGTTTCAATGTGCCTGTCACACTGATAAATGGATATAATTTATGAGAAGGCTTCATGGTTTATAGGAATGTGTATGAATGCAACATTCTTTTCATTTCTAACTGAAAGCACACAGCAGACCCCCACCCTCCCCCTCCCCACACCCTTTTACAAAACACTCTCACGTCTTAATCAGGCATCAAAAATTTGTCACACAATTCACTATTTCACTGGCAGGCAGAAGTTGGCAAGGGCTGGAGATTCTGCACAACGTGTCCCAGTGTTGGCTCACTGGCAGCATGCATTAAAACTTGTTGACATTTTAATTTATTTCCTTGTCATGAACTAGACAAACATATTGGGATGAATTTGCAAGAGAGGAAATCATCAGTGTTTTGAGCTTAGTTTGAAAAGGTCATGAAACAAATGGCTTTTTAGAAAGAAAAAAAAGGCATTTAAACTCTATAATCGTGTTTAACCTCATCAACTGAAGCTAGTATATTTGGGGCTTCAAACGTGTTTGTACATAACGTTGAGTGTAAAAGAATATAATAGTATTAATATATGCTGCATAGCAGTCTCATATACAGTATGACCCCCACACATACGCAAAGCACCAGAACTCAGAAGTCATCAGAAGGGATTTATTGTTTTTGGATGGGGGTCGCTCATTGGTGGGCCCAATGGATAGCCTTTCATCAGAGCTAAACAAACAAAACAAACAAAACATCTGAAGCTTCTATGTTAAATTGTTTTTGAGTTATAAGCATTTTGTATATTTTGTATAGCGTTGGTCGGACACTTCTACATTCTTTTGTGTGCGGCGGTCATAATAAAGCAGGTAGGATAAACCTGCTTCTGCTTAATTCCCATCAGCCTGGTTTACTGGGTAGTTAAGAACTCAAGTAACTAAAAACGATTTAAACCATAATTTACACAAGATTGTTTTTATCAGCTGCTGCCAAGTCATACACAACACATACTTTGATCCTGGCATCGCAGAATATTGGATGAGATTGCACATAACTTTATTTTCAAGGTTTGACCTGAAGACCTGCAACTCTGTCATTTCTCATCATGATGATCTTAGTTTCAAACTCTGGCATGAAAGGCAATGAGTGATATTCAGTCTTTCAAGGAACGCAAGGACTTTAATTTTTAAAGTTTTTATAAGCCCTTAATTATTTATTGGAATAACTTGGAGTCTGTTAAAACTATTTGCTTTGCATCAGCAGGGCTATTATGATATGTAGTATGAGAATACTGTTTTTGCGGATTGCTGGGATGTAATATTGCTGCTACCTGATGGCTGTGTGCCATCGTCTTTTTCCCTGTTTTTGTTTGTTTCTTTTGAGCATCCTAAAATTTCCAGGCTCCTTTCCAGGTTGCCACATTGCTCACTTCTGTTACTTCAGATGTTGCGTATCAACTCTGCAGTACTTGAGGTGGGCCTTGTTCTGCCAGGGAAGATGAATGGGTGCAGTGTTACCATCTACCTAATCAGAATGTCTTTGAAGGCGGCTCAATAGCCCTGTCTGACCTCCTTTTGATCAATGCCGTTCCACTGTGGGATTCTGTTTAGGCTGAGAAGTTAGAAAACACACAGAGCTTCAGACACAGCTCTATGCAGGCACTCAGAATAATGCACATGTGATTTTCCACAATATTGCCATAAATGTGACACAACACAAACAGTGGCACATAAAACCTTACACACCCTACATGCGCCGCAATCTCTCTATAGATTTTCTTTCTTTTCATACAAAGCCCCGAGCTGTGGGTATGGTTCAGTGCCCCCAGCTTGCTAAGAATAATGTCTTTTGAGATTGTCAGGCCTTGTCAATTGCAACCCATTGTGAGGGCACAATGATATTTTATCTAGGCGTCTTAGCCTGCTGAAGTTGTRTCGTGTCGTGTAAAGCAGAGACACTGTGGTTGTTTACAGCAGCTTATAGCCTCTTACCGGCTCAGTTTTGTACATACCATGAAAAAGATCACAGTGGTGTTTTTCATTTATCGTGTCTTCAGAATAATCATTTTGTATAGCCACATAGATAAATGYTCTTGTGCAATTTCAATGATCAATTTCCAACACGGCTGCAGAACTTAGCTTTCTAAAGGAACCCGGTAGCTCTCCTGAATCAGTGTCTGTTTTCCTCCCAGTTGTTTCCCTCCTCGTCCCCTTGTTACTCAGATTCCTTTAAAAAGCTTATCTGCATTTTCTAATTACTTATCGAGTTATTCTAGTTAATCGCATGACAGAATCCTGATACAATCTTGACATTAGTTTTGAATTAAAAAAAATTATGGGATTTTTTTTCACAAACAAACATCTGTAATCTGTCAAAACTTTTTGAAAATGTAGGCAACTCAGTTTATTGTATCTGTGTTTGAATATTTAATTTCAAATATTTATTATTGGGTAAAATGTGTCACATGTTGTTTTCGTCTCATGAAAGCATGAATCAATTCTAAATGTTAAGCATTCCCTAAAAGAATTCYCATCACTTACCTTTTCTATTGCCAGACTTTTAAAAATAAAGCATTTTATAAAGAGAATTAAAGATGGAGTTAAAATCATCTTGATCAAACCCTGTAAATAGAATTCTTCATCTCTTGCAATACTGTGAGATTTTGCAGGAGCTCTTATTGCTGAGATTACGTGTCGGGTATGATACTCATCTAATACAAGATCAAATTTTAACTCAATATCTGCAAAATGGGCTCAATAATAGCCATTCTTGTGTTGGCTAAGGTTGATTAGCTGTGGTGGCCATCTTGAATTGGTTTGACTTCAAATTTTATTAAGTTTTACATCTATTAAGTTTTACATTTACAGTTTTACTCTCTGTGAGTTTCTATCTGTCAAGATATTTTGCCAACAAACCCACACACAGACTATTATGTAATGGTAACATTTTAAAAAACAAAATACAATCAAGTAGTGCTTTAAGTAAATTTTTGGGAATGACACTCAGCTACTACCACACCAAATTTCATTTCAATATCTGCAAATCTCATTGAGGCACTTTTTTTTTGTTTGCTGTGTGAGCTTCATTAAACTCCATCCTGTAGTTCATGACACATTTTAGCTAATTTTGCAGCCAGATGAACTCGTATATGGAGTAACTAAACTGACATAATTAGGAATCAAAGCAGAAATATAAACGGAATAATTAATAAATACTCTTAAAATGCACCAATTAAATTAAATATATTATTTTACCTGATGTTCTATAATTTAATTGACATTCATATTTATTTTTACAGGCAAGAAGGAAAACATACCCATGCCTTTGTTTTAAATAAACTTTAAACTAATCTAAATTGAGGAAGCACAACATGCACAGTAGATCTGCACATGGATCCTGCTGCTTCCTGTCTGTTGACCAATAGGAAAGGAACTGGCCCATGAAGCTCTGCCCACCTTATTTGCAATAATGTGGCAGAAACGCATAAGGTGAAGTAAAAGTAGGAGACAGAGAAATGTAAAAGCATCACATAGAAATAAAAAGACTTGTGGGAAAAAATTATGAAAAAAGTAATTAAATATCATTCAAGAGACAAAAATTTTTTTTTTAAAAAACAGTAAAATGTAAATTATGTGTTAAAATGTATAATTTATTGGAACTAAGCTGGAAAAATAAATATGATGGTCAACTAAATTATAAAACGAGGTAAAGTTCTCCTTTTTTAATTTAATTGGTGCATTTTAAGTGTATTTATTTATTTATTGGTCCATGTAAATATTTTTGCCTTTTTTGTCTAATTATGTCAGTTATGGTGCTCCATACTCACATGCACACAGATGTGGGCAAAAACATTGCTGCCTTTTGCTTTTGGTGGAGGGTGAAAACAGGTCGCACTTTTGTTTGTGATCAAATTTAAAACTAGACCAAGATATGCGAGTGTGTGTTTGCGTGTCAGCAGATGAAGGGCTGCTTTTCAGATTTGTGGTTAATTTAAAACTAACTATTATAGCTTTAATTGTTTTTACTGTATATAAAAAAATTCCCTTCTCACCCTCCGCGGGTGGTCTCTTTCATCCTCTGAGCTCGGGTCCTCTACCAGAGGCCTGGGAGCTTGAGGGTTCTGCGCAGTATCTTAGCTGTGCCTAGAACTGCACATTTCTGGACTGAGATGTCTGATGTTGTTCCTAGGATCTGTTTTAGCCACTGCTCCAGTTTTGGGGTGGCTGCCCCAAGG